TTTTTTGTTAGGATCAGCATGTTCGTATCATTGTCATCATTCTTGTATTCTATGTCCATTTCATTATTTTTAATTATTAAACACTCGTTTGTATTGTTGTTTGTATTGTCTATTTTCTCCCCTTCAATTTGAGGAGGTTTACCTTCGAGAAATTGAATATTTTGTTCAATAGTAATTTTATTATTGTACCAAGTTTTATGACCTTTACTTTCATTGTCTAATCCTATCCAACAAGTGATGATACCTTACTGTTGTATTTTTGTAGGATTTTCATTGCAAATGATAATATATTAACCAAATTTGTATATATTATCAATTGTTCTGTGTGTTCTGTAACGTTTGTAATGTAGGGTATTATAATTTAAAGCAGTACACAGTGTTCTATTATGAATATAGGTAATATGAATTGCTACTTCAGCCTATAATGTAAACAGTAATTCAGTAGATGTTAGATATGCTCTTACACCTCTAAATATAGTTTTATGTGTTCGTTCCACTATTCTGTTCTGCTGTAGAGTATGATGTACTGTTAATCTTTGTTTTGTTCCTTGTGAATCTAAATATTGTTGGAAATCTTCACTAAGGAATACAGTATCATTATCACTTTGTAAAAGTTTTATTTTAACTCTGTACTGTGTAAATATTTTAGTTGTCCATCATACGTATTGTGTATATGCATCAGATTTTGTTTGTAATTTGAGCATTATGCACCAACAAGTAGAATTGTCTACAATTGTTAATAAGTAGTGTATGTTCTTATATGTGTGTGGTTCAATAGGACCAACAATATCAATATGAATAAGATCTCCAAATTGATTTGTAAGAGGAGATTGATGTAGTTTTGGTATTAGTGTACATTCAATATTTGCTTTTATACATTCAATACATTCTTTTTCTTCATAGTTCGTTATTTTAGTTGATAGTACACTTGGTTGTGTCTTTAATAATTGTTTAATATAATTGTAACTTATGTGACTGAGGCATTTATGTATATCATAAATAGATAGTTCGTTCATTGTTTTTAATAAATAATTATTGTACAAAATATACAAGTTATTTCTCAATCATATATGTCCGATGTATTCATTACATAGTGATGTTATAGTACAATTATTGTTTGTAAACATAAAAGAATAACCTTCCCTACATAGTAGTGCTTGACTTATGAGGGAAAAGGTCATTTGTAGATAGTAATAGACGTTTTGTAATGTTATGATGCTTTTTTCTTGTATATTCTTCAGGATTTCAATACACATAGATCCAGCTCAATTAAGAGTCATTGTTAACCTATTTGCAATAGTTACAATTGTAGGAGTTATGTTGTGTACATCTGTTAATCAAAATAGATAAGGAGTAGTATGTATTGATGCACCA